ATCAATAAAATAATGTAGCAGGAAACACATGGCAAAGAGCCATGTGTTTCTGTGTCTAATGGCTTACACAAATCCTTCTTATGTACACGGTAAATTGCTCGGCCACCTATCTGAGGGTATCAGATATCAGTGAACCAGAGTATACATGTAAAGGCCAAGAGTGTAAGAGAAAAAGAAAGGCAACAGAGACGAGTGGGTGTTAACCCAATCACCCTGGATTTTTGTTCTGTCCCCTGTATTTTTTTGTGAATTTTGTTATAGATGGCCCAACATGTGCTCAGCCAGGAAAGAGTCTATCAGTAGCCCCATTGACTGATCCTGATTTCCCCATTTCTTGAATTGGCGGGAAAGTGTGTTTTTCTTGCTAATACAGTTGACATCGTCACTGTTCACTCGTGTATGACATCTTGCTATGTTCAGACCCTTTTCATATGCAGCAGCAATAGATCAAAAGCCTTGTGCCACAAGAGCTACCCTGGTGTCCGGGGCCTCTCATCATGCTCGGCGGTATTGCTTCTGAGTTCTTAATATAAATTACGTAATATAAACTTCTGACTTTTTCAGAACTTACAGCACTTTGTGCTATGCCTGCACCTTCTGTGCCTTGCTTTTGCAGGTCACTGGAGTCTACAGTAGAGGAAGTTAACACCCCACCTTAGACCCGCTTCACTCTTCTACACTAGGGTAACCCTTGGGTAGATAGGCCCAGTAATCTAGGACGTCCTTCGGGCACACAATTTCTTTATTCTGAATTCTTTCCCTCATTTCCTGAGACTTCCCTAAGCCTACCGGAGTGTCCTTCTGGGCTCCCGTATTCGCTTTTGGGGTGGAAATCGAATTACCGTCCTTCGCATAGGCAAGTTCGTCGATAAGGAGGTGTCTTCCACATAACTCGATCCCTCTTTGGTATTGGAGAACACAACCAGGCTTCCACTAGGGATGGTAGAGGACGGAAACTGCCACATTCTTCTCTTAGCTCTTGCTGTTGGGTTAATTATCAAGAGTTAAGAGTTATCTGGTCTCTTCAGGACAACGGGCATGGGCCCAGGGTTTGAACTTGGTCCGAAACCCAGCATGATCGATTCCCCGGCTACCCCTTCTCCTTCTCAAGCAGGGGGGCGACCCATAACTCTTCTAGGACTAATGCTGTGTGCTGTGTGGTGCAGCGGTAGCGATCTCGTCTAGCAATCTTGCTGACCTGCGTTCAAATCCCTTGCCGCCAGTGGATGGTGACCCCGGCTATTCCATGCACATGGGATAACTTGGAAGCAAAATGAAACAGACAGTATGTCACACCAAAAATATCCATTGTAGTAAATGGAACCCCTACTTCTGACAAACGAGAACGACAAGTTTTTGCAATCCCTCCAGAGAATGCAAGTTATGTGACTTTCAGATGTGTGAATGAAAATCAATTGCTTTTGAACGTGAACCCCTTTATCATCAAGAAGGTTCTTGATAGTCAAGTGGACGGCAATTTAGATTTTGTCAGGAAATTGTAAGATGGTAGCCTCATTGTAAAAATGCACTTCAACTCTCAGATTAAGGATTTACTTAAAACGATGCAGATTCATGATTTAAAAGTTAAAGTAACCATCCCTATTGACCTCTATACCTGTAAGAAAGTAATATTCACGAATTTAAGGACAATGGAGGAAAGTGAAATTCTTGATATGAAGGACCAAAGCATAGCGGATGTGAACTGCATGACCAAGAGAGACGGGAATGTGCAAACAAAAACAGGATTGTGTTTTTTACTTTTTCAAGTAAAATTCCTGAGTATGACACGATTGGATACGAACGTGTTCAAGTGCGACTTTACATTCAAAAACCTATGCACTGTAATAGATGCCAAAAATATGGACATCTCATTACGATGCAATGGTACAGATAATAGTAAATTTACTTGTGCTAAATGTGCTGGAGACCATGATATTGTTAATTGTACTGAAATCACTTTCAAGTGTGCTAACTGTGGAGGTCCCCATCAATCTGGTTCTGCCAAGTACAGCAGTTTGAAGAAAATATACGAGCCCCCCTAACGAACTGAACTGGTGAGCCAGACCAGAGGGTTACCCATACTGGAGGGGTCACCAGTGAGGGATGAGACAAAATGGCTTCCTGGTGCACCAAGGATGGTGCACCCATCCCTGGTTCATTCCATCTTGAGCCAGAGAGAACTCTCCCACATGTGTTTGCCGTGCTTAGTGTTCCGTATTAGCAGGAGACAGGAGTCCTGGAAGTTGAGCGATGCTGGATACTGCACACGGCAGTTGGCAACATGCCTCTTTGGTCCTATATTCTGGTTAGACAGGTGGCTTGATCAAGGCCCAGTCAAGTCAGTCGGCTGGTCAAATATGGCTAGGGTCAAGCAGGCATTGTCCAGTCGGCTGGATCTACCATCAATAGTGTATATTTCCTTACTACCCCTATGGCTGTTGGAAAAATTTGAGCCCCAACTATAGCTTCCCCTTGTTGGATTCCATGGTGGGTAGGGGGGTGAGGTAATGAAGATTTATATTTTGTATGATTTCTGCAAATTTACTAAGAACTTACCCCCCAATACTTCTAACACCACGCACTCTGTCACTACCTTTAAAAATCAGTCCTCATATGCTGAAACTGCCTCTGGTGAGTTGTTCCACCAGGAACGGAGTCGGAGTGAGGGGTCTATTGAGGAGACTCATCCCCCCAAAGTAAGATCTTTGGAGCCATCAGTTAAGGCTCCAGAGGCCTCAATGGTGACAGCTCCAGCTGCCACCACATCCACAGGGGTCTCTGCTTCTAAGCAGAATGCCCCTGAAGTAAAGGCTCAGCTATGCCCTTTGCTCGGGCAGAGGAATCCTGACCCAGTTCAAAAGACTCTTCCTAGAGTGGGGTCTTTGGAACCAAAAGGCAGGGCTCCAGAGGCCTTAACAGTGACAGCCCCAGCTGCCACCACATCCACAGGGACCTCTGCTATTAACCGAAAGCTCAGGTCCGTCCTTTGCCCAAGCAGGGAAATCTTGAGCCTGTCCAAAGGAAGCCAGTAGAAACCAGTTCCACAGGTAAACAACCCATAAAAAGGTACTCCCAATATGCTGGAAAGGGACAGCCTAAAAGTGTGGGGTGGACCTTAACCACAAGTGCTGCCAAGCACCTTATGAAGTAATTTGTCAACCTGAAGAGCTGGATACCCTAATCCAATGGAACTGTTAGGGAATTCATGCAAAATGGGAAGAACTGCAACATCTGATAGCGTCATGTAATCCAGTTTGTGTATGCCTACAGGAGATTATGACCTGGGAAAATCGTCCAATTTCCTTGAGAGGATTCCAAGTTGAAGCCCATTCTGGAACCTTTGATAATGGACCTCATGGGGGAGTACATCAGGATATTCCCTTCCTTCCAGGCCATCCACCTGCAGACGACACTGCAAGGGAAGGCTGTGAGAATAGGCTTGACATGACCGTACACTTGCATCCATCTACCTCCCTCCACATAATCTCAACATTGATGATTTGGAAGATTGCCTCATCCATTTCTACTCTTGGGAGACTTCAATGGTTGGCATCACATCTGGGGAGACACTTTGTGCAACCCTCGAGGAAGGGCCTTGGAGTCCTTGTTCTCAAGAGTAGATGCAATTTTAATGAACAGTGACGCACCTACTCATTTCCAAATTCAAACTGGGACATTCTCCAATATTGACCTGTCAGTTGGTTCACCTGATTCACAGTTGAATTTAACTTGGAAGACCATGGAAGCGAACACTTTCTAATACTTTTGGAAGAGATGAATGGTATTCCAGCCAATGGAGTGCAGAGATGGCGACTTGAACATGCAAACTGGAATCTTTTTAGAGCAACCACAGTATTGCAAGGATCAGTGAATGATTTCCAGTGTGTTCAAGATGCTGTTAATCACTTCACATCATGAATTCATCTTGCAGCAGAAGCATCCATTCCCAGAAGTAAAAGGCAGCACCGTCGACCTCCAGTACCATGGTGGTCTGATAAATGCCAACAAGCTGTCACAGCAAGAAAAGCTGCATTAAGGCAGTTGAAACGACGCCCAAACGATGTAACTTTGATCCAGTACAAAAAGACCCGAGCCAAGGCCAGGCAAGTGCTACAGGTGCGTAAGGTCGCTGGAAAGAGCACATCCATATCAGCACCTGCTCTGAAAATAGATGGCATAATCCTCACAGACAAAAGAGATACTGCAAATGAGCTAGCAAAATCAATGGCACAAATCTCCTCTGGAGCATCTTACACTGCCCGATTTTCCACTCTTCGAGCTGAACAGGAACGACATCCAATGTCGTTCTTCAATAGTACTGCAACAGAACTTCCATACAACTTGCCATTTTAGCACAAGGAGATGGACTCTGCTTTGTAGCTCTGCCATAAGACTACCCCCAGGAAGTGACGATATTCCATACCAAATGATATCTCACTTACCAAAGAGCTCCCACACGTTCCAGTTGGATCTGTTCAATAGGATCTATAGAGAGGGCACAGTGCCATCCACATGGAAAGAAGCTAAAACCATTCCCGTCCCTTGTATTTACATATATGGTAATAAAGTAATGTAGATGCAATAAAGAGTGATTGTAATGTAATTGTGTGTGTGTCTGTTTAGGTATATATTTATATACTATGTATATATATATATATATATATATATATATATATATATATATATCATATATAGATAGATAGATGCATACATTTATACATATACATATATATGTATATGAATACATATATAAACACACACACACAATTACATTACAAATTCATTACAATCACTATTCATTACATCTACATTACTTTATTACCATCTCGATATCAATCGCGTTTTTTGTTGGATTTTTCGAATGATTATGAAATTATAACTTTTTCACTGATTGGTTAAAGTCAAGTGGAACATAGATAGCCTTAGTACTGATTAGGATATTAAGGGAGATAAGATTACTTACAAGAGGGTGCTGCGGTTATTACTGTGTTTAAGGTGAACACACACCGGCATGAAGCTCGCGGGGATAGTGGCGTTGGCATTCCTTGCTTTAATCTGTAAATTCGAAACAGCACAATGTAATCTACATATTTTTTCTTCTAGAACAGGTAAGATATGTTGAAAAATTCAATGTTTTGAGAAAACATGGCAGCATTATATGTTAAAATACACACACACACATAGATACACACACACACACACATACACACACGCACACACACACACACAAACGGACGCACACGAAGACACACACACACCTGCATATATATGTATGTATGTGTATGTATAAATATATGTGTGTGTGTGTGTACATATATATGCACACACACATTAGTTCGTCAAACACCGCATCGGAATGAATAATATATATATATATATATATATATATATATATATATATATATATATATATATGTGTGTGTGTGTGTATATATACAAACAGAAATATATATGTATGTATATATATATATATATATATATATATATATATATATATATATATATGTATGTATATATACAAACAGAAATATATATGTATGTATATATTTATATATATATATATATATATATATATATATATATATATATATACAAATTAGGTATATAAAAAATATAAATATATATAATATATATAATATATATTATATAAATAAATATAAATATATCTAAATATATATAAATTATAAATAAAGTATATAAATATAAATATATATATATATTCATATAATTTAATAAACATATAAGAACAAATATATATATTACATATATCAATAAATATATATATATATATTATAAATACATGTAAAAATACAAATATAAATCTATAAATCAATATATATATATATAAATATACATATAACAATATAATATATAAAAAATATATATATATATCTAAAGAATAAAAGTAAATGTGTAAGTGTTGAGTAATGATAAAAGGTATATATATGTATAATAATATATAATAATAATATATAAATATATAATAAATTTATAAGAATATATATATAAAAAAAAATAAATATATATATATGAATATAAATATTTATATAAATAAATGTATAAATGCAAACAGAAAATATATATGTAAGTATATCTTTATATATATATATATATATAAATAAAAATATTCTAAATATATATATAAAAAATAAATATATAAAATAAATCATATATATAAAAATTATAAATATAAATATAAAAATATAAATAATATATAATAGTAAATAAAAATATATATAATTAAATAAAAATTAAAAAAAAATAAACAAATATGTACCTATATAAATAAATAAATATTAAAAAAAAAAAAAATATAAATTATATCCAAGTATAAACATAAAAAATAAAACTATATATATATATAAAAATATTATATAAAAATAAATATACATATATAAATATCTAAAACTATTAATCAAATAAATATATATAACCAAACACTCACACACCATGACCTCCATAATAACACACATATACATATATAGTATAAAATGTAAACATGAAAAACACAGACTAAAAACACAACACACTCACTAACATACTCACTCACTCAAATAACACACTCAAACTCACACTCACAAAATCTATAAAAAACAAACACAAACACTCCATAACTCGAACAGACTGCCTGGATTACAACTCACAAAAACAAACAAAAACAATCTCTAACACTATCACACACACATCACAACACAATCAACTGAAAGAGTACCTAAAAAACAAATAAGATAAAAAAACCCACTAACACAACAAACATAAAACAATCACAAAATCAAAAAATCTAACTATCAAAAAAATGACTTCACAACATAAATTAAAACACAAAAAAACATATAAACCTAAAACAAACACAAAATTCAATCAATCAAAAACACAGTCTGATGTAAATATATTCGTATATATATAATATAACATAAAGTGATAGAGCGTAACAACATAAATGTACATAAGATAAACAAATACACAAGAGTGTATATGTAAAACAATATAATAAAATATAAATTATATATATAATAAATATATATATATAAAAATATAAATAAATAAGTCTGTCGATGTCGACTATGGCATTATTGACTCTTCCCACTCCAGTAATAGGTAGAGTCAGTGCCTAGGCTATAGATTGACAGGAATAATTTCTTGCCCATGCAGCAGCTCACTTCTTGATGGATCAAATAAACGGTATAAACCAATAAGGATATGTTCAAATATATATATATATATAATAAAAATATATAAATATATATATATATATATAATGTAAAAATATATATATATATATTATATATATATATTTAGAATGTATACATGAGTATAAATGAGTGTGTTTGTATATCAATAAATATATAATATCTATATATATATATGAAAATAATATATATATATAACGGAGATGTTGATATATATATATATATATATTAAAAAAAAAAAATATTATATATATATATATTATAATAAATTTAAATAAAAATATGTTTTATACAAATGTGTGTAAATATA